CGTATGTGTAATGCCTGGCGTCGCCATCGGCAATGGCGATGCGAACTATCCTCACACATCAACTCAACTTAACCCGCAAACAAACCATAATTCGCCAACTCCTTGGGGCCCCTCGGCGTGTCAGACGGTTGCCACTCCCCGAGCCCTTCCCCCGGAAGCCAGGTCCAGCCATTTTGGAGTGTGGGGGGTGGAATGTACCTCGAAAACTCCCAGACGCGCCAAACATATCCAAGAATGCTCCGTGACGGTCCATAATTGCTCCGGGACGGCCAAAGACAGGTGCAAGAGGGCCCTGATTGGCCTCAGCACAGCCCCAGAGGCCCCCAAGACGGCCCGAGAGAGCCTCAGGAGGACCTCCAAGAGGGCGCCAAGAGGTGTAAATCGTTGATTTGTCATTTGGTTTCTATATTTCTGACGTGCTCTCCTTTTCGATCTTCACGGTGTCTTAAAAACCCATGGGGCCCCAAAGATGGCCCCAAAGGATCCCAATACTGCCCAAGATACAGGAGCCTAAGAGGGGGAAGTCGAAGTGACTCCGGGTGCCCTCCCCCGCAAGATGGCCACCAAGACCCCCAACATGCCTCCAATGAAACCACAAGAGGCTCCCAACGGCCCCCTTACGGCCCCCAGAGGCATCCAAGCGGCGCACAATACGCACCACAACGACCCAAAAGGGACAATTTTAGAGCACGGCTTTGGATTTCCCAGCTGGACGCACGGTGCCAAGACGCTTCTACGACAACGCCCCCTGGAAGAGAGGCATCCAAGTCTCCCAAGAGGTATGTAATTGCTAGTGTACGCCCCGCTTTTCCCACCGACGCGCATGAGCGCTCGGTAAAGGGAGTAAGGAGATATGAGCAACTAGCCGCATAGGTCATGTAAACGCCTGGCTTACACACGCACGCATCGGTGACACTGCTGCGCGCAGGAGAAAGAGCATGTGGTGACATGTGAGGAGAGGCAAACGTGCAACGCCATTTTTCACATGTGCTGTGCTGAAGAGGTGCTTGATGACAGACCGTGTATCTTAGTCCGTTCTCGCCGGACCTAACCATAACCTTTTAACGCGGTCTGAATTTCTATCCTGTGCAAACTCTGCGCCGATGGGAACGGCTTTATCGCAGACGCGAGCCAAGAACTCGGTGGGGAAGGGGGCAAACTCACACAAAGCACACACACACACACTCACGCACACACCCACACACACAAACACATAGGCACACAAACACATCCAAACTCACACATCAGCACACGCGCACGCTCGCACGCCTGCCCGCACAACCACGCAACGCAACACGCATAATGCAACACGAAGCAAGCAACAACCGACACACACAATACAAACGCATACACAACAGACTACATACCACGCAACACAATACATACGCGCACACGCACGCTCTTCCCCAGACCCACACACAAACACCTCAACAACCATCCACACGTGCCCACACGATTGACAGGCTACAAAAAGACCTCCCACGTGCGAGTGACGCTACACGGGCAACTGGAGCCCCGTGCAGGAGTGCCTGAGAAGACATACTTTCAGCCCTATGGTGCAAAACACTTGCCATCTGATGAGTATCTCCGTGCTCAACTGACGTCTGTGCCGAAACGCTGCGCGGGCGGGCACAACTGTCTTCGACCGCTCGTCCTCCTCCCCAAACCTCCGAGACCTCGCGGAATCATCAATCATCAACCCGAGCAAAACTAACGGATCCATTATTTTGCGATGCTGGAGGTCTGAGCCTCGGACCGCTCGCTGCCAACTCCAGGGCCTCTCCTGTCGCCCTTCGGCTTTGGAGTGCGGCTAAGTTAGACGAGGCTCCGTGAAACCATGGGCCGTGTGCCCAGTGATGTTCAGCGAGGAAGTGGAGGCAATCGCACCCTGTCGCAGGAGGAGGAGGACGACGACAAACACTCGGAGGTGAGAAGATGAGGCATTCGGGCAGACGATGTCCCCCGCAAGATCTGGCCGTGCCCCCCGGCGATGCTCAGTGAAGGGGTGCCGATCGCACCCCGTCGCAGGAAGGAGGGGAGGAGGAGAAGGGTGAGGGGTGAGGACGAACACGGGGAGGAGTAGCAGAATGGAGGAGCAGGAGGAGGAGGAGGATGAGGAGGAGGAGAAGGATGAGGACAAGCACGGGGAGGAAGGAGCAGCAGGATGGAGCAGCAGGGTCGAGTAGGACAAGGAGGATGAGGAAGATGAGGAGTATGAGGAGGATGAGCAGGAGAAGGAGGAGGAGGAGGAGGAGCAGGAGGAGGAGGAGGATCGAGCAGGAGGAGGAGGAGGAAGAGGAGGAGGAGCGCCAGTAGCTTCAGCGAGTCGGTCGAGCTCAGCCTCGACGCCTCGGCCTGAGCCAGAGGAAGAGGAGGAGGAGGAGGAGGAGGAGGAGGAGGAGGAGGAGGAGGAGGAGGAGATGGAGGAGGAAGAGGCGGGTCAGGAGGAGTCGGACCAGCGCAAAACAAGCACGCACCGCTGACGCTTGCAAGGCGCGGCGAGCACCCGCCGGAGAGGTGAGGGCCCCCCTGGGCCTGCCGGGCGAGTGCTCGAAGCTCGGATCGGCGATCAGAGGGCGGTACTCGACCGCAGAGCGCGGCAGAGCGCAGTGAGGCAATCGCGTGTAAGCCCTGCCCCAACCGCTTGCCTGGTCGTCTGCTACTTCGACGACCTGCTGCGCCTCATGCTGTTCATCCTCTTGTGTTGCACCATCTTCGGTGCCTGCGACCGCCTGCGCGTTGCTCACTCGCCGCCTCTCGGCAGTTGGGTCCTTCCCGCCTCCTCCTCCGCGGTCGCCCTCTTCTTCTTTTTCACTCGCTCTAGCGCCCGCACCCGGCACGCCCTGCCATTAGCGACCCCCGCGCCCGCGTCCGCTGGCGCCGCCGACTTAGAACGTGTGAGCTGTGCCCCTGCAGGTCAGATTTCTGAGAGATCGGCTGGGGTTCAGGGGGTCCGAAGGATGCCTGCAGCGAGGTGAACCCTGGCGCGGGTGTCCGAGACGCCAGCGGCGATTGGACCCGCGGGGTTAGTTTCGGAAGTGGTGGCCAGGCGTGGGCCTGAGAGTGAGCCGCTCTCCATCCAGACAGCCGGCAACACTTTCAGAAGGAACGAGAACACGGGCTTGAGGCAGCTGCTGGGATTCTCAGCTATATGTTAGCCAGCATGGACCCCAAGCAGCGCGTTTGTAGAAATCCATGTGGTGCAACCTATGTTGTGCAATACACGTGGTGCCACCTATGAGGTGCAATGTATGTGGTGCAACCTATGCGGTGCAATCTAGGTGGTGCAGTCAATGTTGTGCACCCGATGTTGCGCAATGCATGTATAAATAGATATGGTGCAATACATGCTACACAATATGATAAATGCAATTTATCTTGTTCAATTTGTGGTGTACTATCTACGTGGCGCGATGCATGTGGTGCAACAGATGTTTTGCAATCTTCGTGGTGCAACCTATGTGTGGCGGTATATGTTATGCAACATATGTTGTGCAATCTTTGTGGTCCAATGTAGGTGGTGCCATGTGTGCTGTGCAGTGTATGTTGTGCAGTCTAAGTGGTGCGATGTAAGCCGTGCAATCTACGTTGCGCAATACATGTGGTGCAATGTAGCTACGTGGTGCAATATATGTGGTGCAACCTATGTGGTGGAAAATGTCACTCGTAACCAATATGTGGTGGAGTATGTGTTGTGCAATACAAGATATGCAATTTACGTTGAGCCATCTATGTGGCGCAGTCTAGGTGGTCAATCTATGCTGTGCAATCTATGTGGTGCAAGACATGTGGTGGAATAGACGTGGTGCAATATACGTGGTGCAGTCTAGATTCTGCAACCTATGCTCTGCAACACAGCCGCCAGACCAGCAAACATGCCAAAACGACGGGCGGCGACGAGGCGGCGACGGGTCGGCGACGGCGACAACGTAGCCGCCAGACCGCCAGACCGGCCCAGACGAAGGGCGGCGACGAGGCGGCGACGGGGCGGTGACGGCGACAACGCAGCCGCCAGACCGCCATTCCGGCCCAAACGACGGGCGGCGACGAAGCGGCGACGGGGCGGCGACGGCGACAACACAGCCGCCAAACCGCTACACCAGCCCAGTTCCTCAGAAAAGAAGCAAGAAACCCTGCATGCAAACACTGTTTGGGGAACACGGGTACATGCGAAGAATACTCAGGCGATAACTCGATCTCAAAAAGGCGTGAGGCGTAAGGAAGCGTCGCGCAATATTCGGAATGTAAAAAAAGACTGCCTACCCTCAGCGCAGCTGTGGATTGTCCCAGGAAGTATGGTCATAGCCCGAAGATGTGAGAAAAAGAAACTGCACACTCAAAAAAGACCAGCCTCCATCAACCCGTGTATGTGTTTGGGGAAGTCAACGTTTGGGATGGCAAGATATGAGGGTACCTTAATGTGGTACAAACTTGCATCTATACCTATCTGTAAACATACCACGTTAATGGCATTGGCTCGGGAACTCTTGAGACACGGAATCCAGGGTCTGGCCGGTGGAACACCATCTGAGGCTCGGCCATGGATATCACCGCTGCCATCATCAGATCAGGTATTTTCCACGGTGCGAAACCTTCCAGACACATTCCTTAACGAGTACTGGGAGACGCGAGAGGATGAGAGACAGGAGGCGGTATATGAGGAGGAGGACAAGCAGGAACAACAGGGGGCGGAGGAGGCAAATAATTAGCTTATCCTTAGATCTGGGTCCTCCTCCGCCCCCTCCTCGTCCACCTCCCCCTACTCCTGGCACCTGGCACCTGACGGCAGGAGTGTCTCCTGGACGCGTCCATCCACCTCCTCCTCCTCCTCCTCTTCCTCCTCCTCCTCCCTTCCCCCTACCCCGCTACCCCTCCTGCTCCTCATCTTCCCTTTTTCCTCTCCCACTCTCCTCCTGCTTTGAATCTCGGTGACCCGCTGGGCCCGACCTCTCGACGTGGACGGCTACGGAACCCCCCATGTCGCGTCGGCAACCCCTCCCGGGCGGTCGGCGATTGCTTCCGCAGGGCTCCGCTGGCAGAGCCGCCCTCGCGCGAGTGTCAGGGGTACGAAGGCGACGAGGCACACGAAGCTGGGCCAACGCCCCGACGACATCCTGCCCAACTGCCAAGCTGGCCTCGTGCGTGCAGCCCTGTGCACGGGCCAGCGGGGCCCAGAACTTGGACCGGATTCCCGTCAGGGGCGGCGAAGGAAGGGGGCGTCCAAGACGGGGGGGCGCAAATCATGGTAGGCGGCATGTGCGCGGCAGAGTGGGGAGGGGGCCGTGGACGTATTGGCATAAGAAGAGGCGCCAGGAAATATGAGGAGATGTCATGGCCCCCGCCATGATATCCACCACCCCCTAGTCATCACCCCCCCTCTGGGCCGCCCCCGAATTCCCGGCCGGGCCGTGCATTGCTGGGCCATGCGCTCCATTGCAGCCCGTCGCTTGCAGGCCGTGCGTGCGGGGGGCAAGTGTCGCACGACTGATGCTGCTGTAACGGCCCGCCCGGCCGGGCCGCACGGACCGGCGCGCCTACTCAATAGAATTTCACTTTTGCTTCTCCCTCCTCCTCCCCCCGTCTCCCTCCCTCCTCCTCCTCCTGTCCACCTCCATTCTCCCCCCCCTCTCCTCCTCGCCCCATAGCCCCAAGAATTGGCATCCCATGGTGCAACGACCAAGGCTTCCTGCTTTTCTCGTCCAGCCGCGACATTCGGTTCCTACCTTCTTCCCGCAACGTCGGTCAATGGGACCTGGTTTAGTGCTGTGTACCGGGGAACCCCCCCCGCCCCATTTCACTAATCAGAGCTGCCGTCACCCGAAGCACACCAGCTACGGCAGATCTGGTTTAGTGTTTCTGGCCAATTTAAAGGCTCTGGGGCCCTACTACTGACCGGGTCCCCTTACCTGGGGTCCTGGCTATGCCCGACTCTCTTCCTCCCCCTTCTCGTTGCTGCCCGTGTGGGTCATCAATCGCCGCCCGTAGGGAGCCCCCCCAGGAGGATCCTCACTCCCACGGGGGCCCCAGACCAGTGTCGGTGTGCGCAGATTCGTGCTGCACCCAGATCCGTCTGAGGCCCAGCCTCACTCGGGGGCGCGCAAACATGGATTAGCGATCCATGGATTTGGCGCGCGGTCGCCAAATCCATGGATCGGGGGAGGCGCCATCCCCCAAATGCGGCCCGTGCCGCCTCGTTCGGAGGTGGAAATCCGCGATTTCCCATGGAAACGGGACCCGTCGCTAATCCACGCCCCCTTGACCCATGCTTGCGATCGCCTGATTCACGACGAGTGCCGTCTTCCAGAAGGAGCGTCGGCACCGCCCCGCCCTGCGGGAGCCCGCGTGCTGCACCTGTGATCCGTCGTGAGCAATCCCTCACGGACACTGCCGCCTCCACAGGGAGCCGCAGCGGGGCCCCGATGGGGCGCGTCCGCACACCGGGCTCAGACCGTGGCGGGCTTGCCTTCGCGAGGATTCTCACCTCAGGCAGGAGCCCCAGCGTGGCTGCAGCTAAGCAGGGCTCATGCAGCGAGTGCGTCAACGCATTGATGTAGCAAGGCTCTGCGTTTGTATAGACATTGAGTTCCTTCTTGCGGAAGGATGGGTTTCTGCTTTCGGGGGGTCAGTCGAAGCCGCAGGAGCAGTGTGGATGGTACTGGCACGCCGAAGCAACGTGGGATCCAGGTCGGAGCACTTGGCGACGATGTGAGCACCGATTTGGTATTGTACGCCTTCGTCCTTGGAAAGGTTTCGAAGGTTGATTTTCGGCCGTCTGAACTTGCGGCACAACGGCTCTAGGGAAATGGGATCCTCAATCCTAGAATAGCGCGGATATGTAGACTGCCGCATTCTCAACATGTAGCTGAGGCTGGAGTGAGATCAGACCCCAGGAGAGGCATCTGTGCGGATGGCGTCAAATATCAACGATATCGTTGGGGGGGATTCCACTGATGGTGATTGGGGTGGCGATGATCCTGCCTGCCGACGGCTCAATGCTCGATCCGAACTGCGAACCACCGTCGAAACGGGATCGGCCTGGAGCGGCAGAGAACGCGTCCCCGCCAGCCAGCTGAAGACGGCGCTCACGACGCTCACGCGCAGAGTAGAATATATCTCGACCCTGAAGAGCACCTCAGAAAGGCGGCCAATAGCAACAACACAACACGATCGTCTTCGCAAGATCGAGTCGCAAGAAAGCGCATAGAACACTGGTGGCACGACACAATGCCGACAAAACAAGCCAACTGTAACCGCAACAGTAGATCCCGAGTGCGTTCGAATCGCTCGTCCATGCAGGAAGCAATCGCAGAGCCAACTTCGCACAGGCTTCTCAAACAAGTGAATATCGCAGGTTAGCGTAATCCAACCCATGGCAAGGATGTGACGGATGGATGGCAAGAGAGGAACCTGAGGATGAGGAATCCTAGTCAATACGTGCACAGAGTGGATCTCTGTGCGCCGCAGAACGCAACCTCACGTCGTCATGGACGAGGCGTGCTGTCATGAACGGAATGCCTTGACGCGTCCTCTTTCGGAAGGCGTTCATGTAATCATGGCCGCAGCTGGCAACGATAGCAGGAAAGGCTGTGGAACAAGTTGTGCAACCATGCCCCAGATGCAACGCGAAAATTGGCTCTGTCAGATCTTCCTGGATCGTCCTGGGGCATGACGCCTCGGGCCTTCTGGAGCCTCAAGATGGCCGACACGATGGGAGCGCTGTTTGGGAACGGCCGTATGGACGACGTAAACTCTGGGAAAATCCTTCAGGACAGCACTAGGGCAAGACACGACGATACCATCAAATTCGAATGACTCGAAGATCTCTGAGAGCCGATGAGTCGGGAAGATTCATCGGGCGCCGCGGCCGTTCAATAATGCGCCCGAAAGATCTGGAACGATTTCTTGGTATCCTGGATCTCCAAGCTCAACTCTCTGTCCCCAATTCGGTTGCCTTGTGACCATGCCGTGGATCCCTCCCTGGCTGTTCGCCCAAATACTACAATTCTGCGACCCTGCTCATCATGCAAGCTCATTCTATTTGGTGGAGTTCCGTGATGATTGTCTCTCATGGCGAGCCTGTTCTGCAGGAGCCCTTCCGGCGAGCCGTCCTACGACCATGCAGCGTCGGCCGCTGGGCGGCACTAGCCATGGCCCCCGAAGGGTTACGTGGCACGTGGCAAAGCCCCAGAGCCTCCTCTAGTTGGTGAATGCTCCTCCTAACTGCTCCTCCATTCCGCTGTTGCTGCTGTTCCTCCTCCTTCTCCGATTCCCCCGTCCCCCTCCACGCCGCTCCCCTCCTCCTCCTCCTCCTCCTCCTCCTCCTCCTCCTCCTCCTCCTCCTCCTCCTCCTCCTCCTCCTCCTCCTTGTATCTTACGCAAGACACCATCCGTGAAATGCTACGTCTCGGACGTTGGTAATGCTCGGGGCACCTGGGAGATGGGGGTGACGGCGGGCGTCTCATGCCCGGCGGCCCAGGCCATCTCGACGACTGCGAAGGAGCCCCATCGCGACCAGGGGGGATCTCAACAGCTCGCGCGACCGCGCGAGATCGCGATGAATGCCCGCTGCGCTTGCAGACGATGCCGCGAGGCCTCGCTCAGATCGAATGCACTCGAGCGGCTGAGGGGGGCACCAAGCAACATACCCGGGTACTCCAGCAACTTTAACAACAAGATTTTGAACGGGTGGGCGATGTGCGCAACCTCCAAGAGTGGCGATGCCAAACCATATACTGTGAAACGGATCCTGGCACACAGAGAAAAGAATCCGACGGCCTAACAAGCCAACGAAGTGTTGTTAGACTCGCGCGGCACGAGGACGCGCTTTGCCCTGGCTGCTGCCCGCTGCTCCTGGCTGTGGCTGCTCTGCTGCTATTGGATCCGCTGGCGCTGCCGAAAGGTCTCGTGCCACCCGTGGTGGATCTGCGGGCCTCATCGGCCAACCAAGGTCGTCTTGGGAAACCATCGGGGCCTCTTGGGCTGTCTTCACGACCTTCGACGTCCCCAATGTTGCCTCAATCAGTGACCCCCCCAACAGATATTAGCCCCACGTTGGCGTCCAGAGGGAGCACATCGTATACACGCGAGCTCATTTCGCATACGTACGCGGGTCAACACATGTCCTAAGATCATCGCGAAACCGCCAAAAGGTACATACGAAGGGGCGGGCGAGGCCTGCGAAACACCTTGAATGAATGCGCGGTGCCACTTCCAAGGTCCAACACGCTCTGACAGGTCGTCAAGAATTTCATGAACGCCTTGCCCACTCGGCTGAATCCGCTGCCCTCCCCTTGGGGCTACTGGCCTGCGAGAGTCATACGTGTGTGTGCGCGTGTGTGTGCCCGCCGGCGGGGCTGGCCGCGCCGCTCGCTCGGGGAGCGATTCGTCCCCCCCTGAGCCGCTCGCTCCGTCCGCCCCTCTTTCGCCCGCGCCTTCCCCCTCCTCCTCCTCTTGCACGGTGGCGCAATTCGCTCGAACGGCATCACCGTCTAGGCATCCCATCGCCAGCGCGGACGTCCCATACCTAGCCGCCGACGCTAACAAGTGTAAGTGTGTGTGTGTGTCTGTTGTGTGTTGTGTGTGGGTGTGTTGTGTGTGTGTGTCTGTGTGCGTGTGCGTGTGCGTGTGCGTGTGCGTGTCTGTGTGCGTGTGTGTGTGTGTGTGTGTGTGTGTGTGTGTGTGTCTGTGTGTCTGTGTGCGTGTGCGTGTGCGTGTGCGTGTGCGTGTGCGTGTGCGTGTGCGCGCGTGTGTGTGTGTGTGTGTGTGTGTGTGTGTGTGTGTGCGCGTTTTTGTTTGTTTTGTGTGTGTGTTTGTGTGTTTGTGTGCTTGTGTGCTTGTTTGCTTGTGTGTCTCCGTGTGTGTGTGTCGCCCGCCTAACTTTGGCGCGGCCTCGCTCCCCACCCCGCCGCAGCCCTGCTGGCTCACGGGGCGCCTGCCCCCGCTGCCCCGCCCGCGCCCGGGGCGCCCCTTCCCCGCGGCCCGCCGCCTTCCAGCCCGCCGCCTCCCGGCCCGCCGCCGCCCGCGGCTGCCCCTCTGCAGGAGGAATATTCCAAAATATTGAAAAACATATGGGGGCTATTGTTTGACAATTCTTGAGCATTTTTGGAATCCGTTTTATGGGAGAGGGGCGGGGGGGGGGGGCGGGGGGGTCGGAGGGGCCGGCCTTTTCCTTGCCTTTCTTCCGGCGCTAGACAAGCGCGTTCCACTGCTCGCAAAGTAGCTACTCGCAAATGGCCTGAATCCGCCGCTGGGGGTTCACTATCCACTACATCAAGGTAGGCGCCTGTTTTTCGGACGTTTGCGGATAGGCACTTGGCGAGTAGTGTAACGCGCTCGGTGAAGCGCAAGCGCCTGCGACTTCCTTCGGCGGCGTGGCGCTGCGCCCGCCGGCGACGGCCAAAAATGTGCGAGTGTGTTCGCGAGCATGTCTTGCACTGCTTGGCCTTGACTTGCCCCTCGCGGGGGAGACCACGGCCTCAGCTCGAGCTCGCTCGTCACGCGCGCGGTTGCAATCTGAACTTGCGTGCCGGAGCGGCCATGCCAAAAAAGAAAATGGCCGAAACATGGGTGCAAAACTAGTCGCGCCCCGCTCCAGGCAAGTCATGTGGGGCCCAACCAGGGTGTAACGAAAGCCCCGCCGTCCACCGGGCCAGGCGTGCAGGGCCAGACCGGAGTGCACCGAGGGCCAGAATGCCCATCGAGGGCGCCCTGGCAGGCTCCTCCTCACCCCAGGCGGATTCGAGGAGACGGACGGCGGTGGTGGGCATGGCACGTGCTGATCTAGCGCTCGGAAACGCCAGGTGTCTTGTGGGACACAATAGCGGCGAAGAGAATGCCCGTTATTTTGCTCCGCGCTGGGGGCGAAGGGAGCGTCGACTCAGACTTGCGCTCATGTAAGATCAGCGTTGCGTCGGAGGAAAATCCCACCAGCCCGCTGGAATGGAGGGGCCAATCACTGCTCCTTATTAACGACCCCCCCCACTCAACAGGCGGCCGACCAACAACTATGCCGACTTCCCTTCCCCCGCCATCCAAATGATTATTATGGCAGAATCTTGGACTTCGGGCTCCTAACGGGGGCCTGCGTTTTGAAGTTCCGCTTTTCATAAGGGTACTTCGTCTTCGTTGTCGTCGTCATCGTCGTTTTCTTCGTTGTCGTCGTCTTTGCCGCCGTCGTCGTCGATTAATTCGTTGTCATCATTGTCATCTTTGCCGTCATCGTCCACTGCTCTCCTCTCCTGCTGTGCGTTGTCGGCCTTCAGATGCAAAGGAACCTGGTGGATGAACCTGGTGGATGTTCAGATTGCGAGTGCCCGCGGAATCTTCCCTGTTCTTTCATCCAGCATATCCTCCTCCACGTGGAGGATCCGACCCTGGGAGAAAGATCCCAAGACAAAAAATCTGGCCTCTCGAATCCGATCCCCAATTTTTTTTTCCGGGCGGGCCTGAGAAAAAAACGGGGCGCCTGGGCCAGGGGGGGGGCGTTTTTTCTCTCTGGGACGTTTCCCCCAAGGCCCAGCCGCCACAGGATGCCCGCAGCACCAGGGGGCCTCGGCGCCAGGAGCAGTCAGGAGCGTGTCCACGTCCACCACCTCCTCCTCCTCCTCTTCCTCCCCCCCCCCCCCGAGGAGGAATTGAGGAGGAGGAGGTGGAGAACGGGGAAAGCTCCTCGTTCAGAGGTCGCGGTCGTTTTGAAGCTCTGTTGGGCAGGCGTAGGGTTGGAGCCCGTCTTGGCCATTTTGTGAGCATCCTGAAGCTGTATTGGGAGCCTCGTGAGGCCCCCTTGGATCACCATCGTCATCGGCAGTATTCTCGGGCTGATTCATGTCACCAGCATCGTCATCGACAACATCCTGACTACCGTACTCGTCATCACCATCGTCGTCGGCGCTGTCTTGAAACACGTTCTCGTCACCACCACTGTCATCGACAGTATCTCGAGAGGAGTACTTGCCATCGCCATCGTCATCGGCAGTATCTTCAGGCTGATGCATGTCATCAGCATCGTCATCGACATCATCCCGACTACCCCGACTACCATACTCGCCATCACCATCGTCATCGGCACTGTCTTGAACCGTAGTCTCGCCGCCGCCATTGCCATCGGCAGCATATTGAGAGTAGTACGCGCCATCGCCATCGCCATCGATACTATTTTCAAGTTGATGCATGTCATCAGCACCGTCATCGACGGCGTCCTGACTGCCATGCTCGTCATCACCTCGTTATCACCCTGCTCCTCCTCATCCTCCTTCCCTTCATCGTCCTCCTTCCTTTCCCTTTCCTTTCGCGCGCAAGGAGGAGGTGGAGATTCTACGTGTTCTCTTTTCCTTCAGGAAGGTGGGATCGGTGGTTCCGCCCCTTTTCGCGCCCTCAGGAAGGAGGATGAGGAGGTTTCTTCCTTTCCTTTTTCCTCAGGCAGGAGGAGGCCCAGGAGGAGGAGAAGACGTGTATCTTATTGTCCTTCCCCGCAGGAGCGCGGAGGTGGTTGTTTCCCTTGAGTCTTCCTCCGAAAGGAAAAGAGGAGGAATAACAGGTATCTAATCTCTCCTTTCCCGCGGGAGGGACGATGCGGAGGATCCTTCCCTCCCTCCTCCCCCAGGCAGGAGGAGGAGGAGGAGGTGGTTCCGCTCCGTGTCGTACTTTCTGGAAGGAAGGGGAAGATCCATAAATTCCCTTCCCCCCCGGCAGGCGGAGGCTGAGGAAGGGGAGATGGCATTCCTTCACTCCTCTCAGGAAGGAGGAGGAGAAGGTTGTTTCTCTTCCCTTTTCCTCAGGAAGGACGGCGAGGATGCTAAGACTCAGTCCTGTCCCTTCCCTGTGCTTCAGGATGGAGGAGGTGGAGGCTCCTCCCCTCCATTTCCCCCCAGGAAGGAGGAGGTGGCGAGGAGGTTTCAATCCTTCCCGTCTTACAGAAAGAAGAGAATGCCCCTCCTCTTCCCTCATCCCCAGGAAGGAGGGGGAGGAGGTTGGGGTTGCGTTCCTTCCCTCCCTCCATGAAGGGTGGGGAGGAGGTTCTTTCGTTTCCCTCTCCCTCGGGAAAGAGGAAGATGAGGAGTTGCCTCCCCTCTGGAAGGAGGAGGAGGTGGTAAGGAGGAGGCTACGATCCCTCCCGATCCCTTAAAAGGAGGAGTCGGCACCTCCTCTTCCTGCCTGAGGGCACGGTAAGGAGCGGAACCACCTCCTCCTACTCCTCTTCCTGCCTGGGGGACAAGGGAAAAAAGGATCCCCCGCGTCCTCCCTCCCGCGGGGAAGGGGAGAGAAGATATCTGTTCCTCCTCCTCCCCCTTTCCCTCTCCGAGGAAGATGAAGGGGAGGAACCACCTCCTCCTTCCCGAGGGAATGAAACTAATGGACACCCCTTCCCCTCTTTCCCAGCCTCCTCCTGAGGAGAAGGGAAGGGAAGACGCACCTCCTCCTCCTCCTTCCTGAGGGCCCGAGAAGTGGCGGAACCACATCTTCCGCCTTCCTGAAGAAAAAGGGAATGCACTGTGCCTCCACCACATCCTTGTGAGCGAAAGGAAAGGGAAGCCACCTCCTCCTCCTCCTCTTTCCTGAAGGAGAAGGAGAGTCAGAACCTCGACCTTCTGCACTATGGTTTCATCTTCTTCATTCGCTCACTCATTCCGCTTCTCGCGCTTTCCTTTGAAACGCAGGCCCCCGTGAGGACCCCGAAACCGAATCTTGGACCATGCGCGGGAGGCCCGCGATCACTTTGCATGGTTTTTGTTTCACAGGGGCGGCGGGGAGAGAGCATACTGCCTGGTGTGCAGATCAACCACCCCTGCGACAAACCCCATGCAAATGCCCTTTGCGGTAACATCTTGGACCATGCGCGAGAGCCCCGCGATCATTTTGCTTTTTTTGTGATAGGGACGGTGGGGGTGCGCGCAGAGTGTCTGGTGCCCGCGGGTCCACAATCCCGATCAAAATCACATCCAAAGTGGTTGCGGGTGCACACACCATACGCCCAGCTGACCCCCCGCCGCCATGTAGCGCGTGCTTTTGACAAAAATGATGGGAAGTCGACGAGTTTCCCGGTGTGTGCGGTCACGTGTCCTGGCGGACCCGGCAGCAAGACTCGGGTGCGCTTTTTGTCGTGGGAAGCGGGTGGGAACGAGCGAGACGGCTTGCGACCGTCCTTCGTCTGGACGGGGGCGGGCCCGAGCGGTCAGAGCGCATGGCTCCCAGATGGCCCAAGAACGCCCAAGATGACATCCGCGATGGAAACAGGTAGCGCGCGATCGCTCGA